AAAAAAGTATTGGTAATTAGTTAGGCCCCTTTCAGTTCCTGGAAAGTTCGGGAAGGAAGCCACCAGAGCTGACTCAATCGACTACAACCCGAACCCCCAAACCGGGCAGGCCACAAGAAAAAAGGGTCGGAACCTGAAAGGGCAAGGCCAGAAAACATAGAGGCCTAAATAATTACCGATACTATTTTTGGGGCTGCTCCCTGATTATAGTTATTGAATATTACTGTATATAATACACCCCAAAACCTGATTCTAACTATTTAGGGGTCCTATGTTAGGTTGGAAGTTGCAAAGTAGAGGGGGCTCTCACTTCTAGACGCTCAATGCAAGAACTCTCCCGGAAGAGTACTCTGGGGCCCTTGATCTCCTTGCCCAAGAGCCTGAACACAAACCTTTGGGTTTAGGGTTTAGGGTTTAGGGTTTTAGGGTTCAGGGTTTAGGGTTTAGGGTTTAGGGTTTAGGGTTTAGGGTTGAGCCTGAAGACAAACCGCAAAACCAGGTGGATGATATAGGATCCTTATTGCAAGGATCCCTAGACAGGTAACGAAGGGGCCTTGCTCATTCGAATAGGATCTTGGTGTATACTATAGTAGATAAAAGTAGAATGACAATATATGGAACGACATTGGTAATTGTTCACGCGCCTATATCTTACACATCTCGCACAGCCACCGTGAAGCTCGCAACGCCACGGTCAATCGAAGACGTTCTAGACAAAAGCAGTGCACAATGCAACCACTTATAAAGGAATATAGTGTTTTGTTTTTATACTCACATCGCGCCAGGTGAACGAGCCCTATTTCGGCGGAGATCTCACGAAGCTCGGGAAGAATGCCTCGCAACAGGGCGTGAGGCCCACTAGTGAGAATCGGGGGGAGAGCGGCGCATGGGGATTTTTGGCCCGAAGGGAATTACGCAAGAATGATTAGGGTGAAGATGCGAGAGCTTGCCGGGTGCAGCACGTTGCACAAGGTCCGACGCATCCGGACCCAAGGAAGTCTAAGGGAGGTTGGGGTCGTGAGGCCTCGTGAGAGTGCGGGGCTTTGCGGAGTCGCACTCCCGTAGCAAAAGGGTTGAGCAAGTGTGTTGATGTGCGCTCAGCAACCCTGCAAGGATGGGTGAGAATTGGTGGCGCCAAATCTTCCGACAGTGCATGGATGGGTCCGGAACCCTGTCCATTCCGACTGCTGTGAGCAGGGTTTTCTTCAGACTTGAGAAAAGCTGACAAAGCGCGTGTGAACCCAGAGAGTGTCTCCTGCAACCCAAGCCCGCTGGATCAACGATGGAAGTAGATTTACAGTAGGGCATGGTCGGGGAAGCAGAATGTATGATGCCAGACCGCTCTGAGTGGTAGAGCAGACTAGAATTCAATCCATCTTCAATCTTCGTGCTGCCTAACCTTTACTCTATTCACATTACCAGTTGGAGGAACTTGAGGATTGTGAGACGCCCAACATTTGCACAAATTCTCTGCGATGCAATTGAGAAAGAGACTGACATCGGAAAAGGCTGTGCTATCTCCACGGAAACGGCGTCATGCACTGTGACATCAAGGACATGCTGGCTGAATCCTATCATGTCTTTCTGGTTGACAGGTTCGCAAGATGCATGAGATCCGACACTTGCATCTACAGCGCCGATGTTCACAGCTTTTATCTTCCAAAGCCCACAGCACGGACATGGCCATGTTTAAGATCCCACTAGTTCTCTTTGAGCTGCGGGCGCGCGCGCACCCCACAATCTGACTTCCTCTCGTTTAGTTGCCATGTTGACCTTACCCTGAACTCCAAACCCTTATTCAGGTTATGCTCCAAGCCTGTCAGACTGTAGGAGCCCAACATCATGATCTCGAAGAGCGAGTCCTACGAGGTGCCTACAACAGGGCCTTGCCGTGGCAATTCGGGGAATGCTGTTGTCAGGAGTTTTTGTGTTGAGCATCTTTTTTCTAGGTTTGCTCTCTCGGTATATACGATCAGAGTACGATTCTACAGTTCAAGGCGAGAGAGCCCAGGCAGAGACGGAGATGCGCAAACCCAGTGCCTTGCACCGTGCAGGCATCCTTTCTCATGCTTTCTGGGGTCGGAATAGATAGTACTAAATCTCCTGTATAGTGGTCCTCACCAAATTGAAAGTAAAATATGACTCCAAACCCTAGTCAAATTGTTGAGGACCTACATACAAACTGTCCTTTTGCAGCATGTCCCAAGCGCAATAGTTGACAGAAGGCCCCTGATGCTGGTGGAAGCAAGGGGATGCAGAACGCCGAAATCCGAAGCATGTGAGCCAGTACGGTGCGCCAAACCCTCGGCCCTTATCTCTAGCGCGGCTATCGTTACTATTCCTACGATCAGGGCTGTGATGGAAGTGAAAGAAAGACCAAAGCCTGAGGGAACAGCCTGTTTATATATGGGTATATGCATAAGCACACAACAGTTCGCTGGTTGCTATCATAAAGCATCGTCCCTGGTGTCATCATAATCACTACGTATATCCATTACAGTCATGCTTGTGTTTGTTGCCATGATTATTGCACATGTTATTTGGGAGTTTCCGAAAATTAGGGGTACCATATTTTGGTGCCTTTATAATAAGGATCCTAATATTTAGGGTACTATAGTAGGGTCCCCTATTTTCGGAAACCCCCCCCATTTTGTGCATGTGAGTAGACGGCGCAGCTTTCCCAGAGCCAGGCGCCCCAGGTGGTTCTCATCGACTTCGGGTTAGCTTCGGCGCCGGGGGCCCCAAACGGCAAACTCTGAGGGGCTCAGAGTTTAGGGTTTACCTATAGTCTCCATTGTAGTTCCTTTTTGGGGATACCTTATAAAATCCTTAGTATATATTTGGTCAAACTAAAAAAAGGAACTACAAGGGAGACTATAGGTAGGAGATGAGGGCTTCCATACCGGGCTCAGGGAAACTCGCAAAGACGCCGAAAGCACACATGGTCAGTCATGAGAGCTGAGCTTCTGTAGGCTCGGACATCTCAGGCGAGTGCACAAGGTCCTGATGCAAAAAGGAGATGAGAGCTTAGGGTTTGGGGTTTAGGAGATGAGGGCTCAGGTTTAGGGTTTACTGTAGAGTCTAGAGAGGGGATATTGTAGGATTGAAGACACCAGTGGACCCAGCCACAAGAGCCGGCCGTGGTTTTACCAGGCTCTTGCCAAGGAGCTGGGATGAAGCAACCATCGCAGCGGTTTCGTACATGGCATACTTTCCGTGCGATGCCAAACTAAAATAACTGAACCCGAAACCCAAGGCGTGTAACTAACCTCCTCAGCAGGAAGCCGAGATGTGTGGTTCGGGACGGCGGGTTTGGAATACTGAGGGCTTGACCCTTTCCGAGAAGAGTTCCAGTCAATCGAAGCTCCAGGATGCAACGTATCCCTTAGTTCAAACATCTCCTTCCTGTGCTCTTGAGTGCAAGATCCCCTCTCCACCAAGACAAGATCGTGTAGGAAACAGAAGGCTACCTTTAATGTAGGAGCTTGAATAGGGAGTGGTATTATTCTTGATGGCTGCAGTCTTCAGTAACTTGGGTCGATGTTCGTCCTCCTGAACCTGAGACTTGCGGCTACTCCTAAAACGCAAAGCCCAAGCCTCCAAAGCCTTGAACCTCCCAAAACCACATGCAACATAAAAAGCAACTCTAAAGCCCTGTTATGAACCCCAACACCCAAAAATGAGAATTCTTGTCTAAAGCCCTAAAACAAATTCCCCCCCTTAAGGTGCGTAGCCCAGGTTCACGAGTAATCGCCAGGGCGTTTGCGGCACGCCTGGGTACATCCCCCCAGAGACCTGGAGGCCCACGAAAGCCCACACGGCTCTGGGGCTTTGGGGTCTTTTGGAATTGGATGGCTTAGGATTTTGCGTATAAACAAATAAATAGACAGATATATATATATATATATATATGTGTTTTTTTTTTGTTTTCCTTTTTTTTGGAGGGGGGAGGTGTTGTGCCCATGTGTCCAAAAACCTCCTCTCATACAGCTGTTCGTGCATGGGCAGAGCAGCAGCAGGCTGCCCCGAAACAAGGGCAGCTTTGCGGGTCGGGCTTGGTGCTTAGGGTTGAGAGTTTAGGGTTTAGAGGGGGTTTTAGGGTTTTTTAGGGCGGCCCTGCGCGC